GAGAGTAATCCTTACGAATTTAAATTGATTCTTCGCGGAAGTCGTGATGGATTCACTCCAAAGGCGTTTTACAAGATATGTAATCAACAAGCCAACACTGTGGTTGTATTAAAGGTCAATGGTACAGGGGAAATCCTCGGTGGATATAATCCCAATCCTTGGGATAAGCAACAATACAGAGGATGGAATAGAACTGAAGAGAGTTTTGTCTTTTCATTTGGGGCAACTGGTTCTATTTTGAGTCGTGTGACACACCCAGAGCAAGCGATATTCGAATCTTACTTTGACGGTAATGGTCCAAATTTTGGAGGTGGCGTTCTCAGGATGAAGGATAATTTCAAAGAGGATAAGTCTTGTGTTTGTATGCATCACAAAGGATATGAGAGGCCCATCAGAACTTCGAAGGCTCAATTTTCGGTAGACGAGTATGAAGTATTTAAAGTTATCAACAAACTTGGATTGAAAATCCCCAATATCCGATAACTAATATTAGTTTTAAAGAAAAATTTAGCGTTACTGGGTTGACGAAAAATAATTTATTCGATCCAAGTTGTAAAATAGTTATATTGCTTGAAAAAATATCAAGGCGAACGAACTAGAATGTATACATAAATGTTAAATTTATTTAAATTGATAATTAAACCGCAAAGCAAATCATATTTAAAATTAAAATTTTAAAGATCATTATTTCAACTTTGCATTTTAAATTCAGTTTTTTTATTTTTATAGTTGTACCTACCATTCATTCATTTTATGCAAATAAATTACGTTCTATTTATAAAATCTTATTATTTTATTATATCAATTGATTTAGAACGAAGTAAGTTTGTATCGTGCAAAAAATCATTCGGTTGGTTAATCCGATAACTGGTTTTTTTTCGCGTGCCAATCACTTAATCAAAAATAAATATGTAGTCAATTACTATCAAACGACAAGAGGGATTTGAGAAAGTAGAACGAAAGGGAATAATTATTGACAAAGAAGTACTACGCGAAGTTTACCTCAAATTTTGCGAAGGTGAGCCTAGGATCTCTGCTAAATATCGCTTAGTCGATGGGAATTGAATCTGTGAAATACCTCTTTATCCTCATGCACGAGTACAAGGAAATTAATTTCTATTATGGGAGGCTGGAGCGATCAATGGTCCTTGGTGAACTGGATGTCATTGTGAATAAAAAAAGTGTCTTTCGTCTTGATTGTAGTGGTTAAAATTGGAAGTACTGAAAGTTTAAAAATTTACACGAATTGGCCGGAAAATATTTTTCTCGACGGACCACTATTCAGATTTATTTAGCCATCAAATACTGTAGGAGTTACTGGTGTCGGGTTAGGAGAGACCCTCTTATAATGCTAATATTGCTGAATATTTGCAATTTTCTTGACAATATTCTAGATGGTATACTTAACTTTATTACAGATCTATGGAAATTGAAAGAAATAATTCAAGCAACTTAATGATAGTCGATTGCAATTACTTTTTTTTTTTTAATTAAAACACTTTATTTTTGTGCTATAATATTTTTTACATTAAAAAAATTTATTGGTTTATTATAAACTAAAAAAAATTGGCATAGTTTAAAAATTTTTAATTTAATTCTAGCTTATTTTATATCAAATTTTTATAAATATAAAATTTTATTTTATTTTTGGTTTAATTCACAACTATGAACATTATAGCCTATCTTTAATTTTTATTAAAGAAATAAAAACAAAAAATACATGTTACTTTAACTTTTATATGATAACTATTTTATCTTCATATATTATTAATAAAAAATTAAAATTATAAAAATTTTTATTGAACTAGTTTATTTTTAATAAAACAAAGTTTTAACTAAATATTATAAGTTAAATTAAATTTGAAATATAATATCTTGTATTTCAATAATTATATCAAGTTTCTTAATTAAAACATTACTATTCATAGTTTATTACTATTAATTATTGAATTAAAAAAATTTTTTTTTTAAAAAAAAATGAAAAAATATATACTGTATATATATAAATACTCTAAAAAATAAATAAATCAAACAGAATATAATAAATTTAAGATTAAAAAAGTAATTATAAATAAAGAAATAAAAAAAGGTATATAATATATTAAATATAAAAAAATATAAAAACAGTTGAATTAAGTAAAAAAATAATACAATAAGTAATTTGGCCAATTTTAAAATACATAAAATATTTATAAATAAAATATATTTTTTAAATATTCAAATAAAAAACTCTAATCATATACAGTATAATATTAATCAATTTCGGCTAATATGCGATATACAGTAGGTGGTACGATAATCACTGTGACATCTCAGAGGTAAATGTGATTATCTCGAAAAATCATAATGCCGACCAGAATTATAATCTTAATTCTACCGGAACTATGGTTTAATGTCAACCAGAGTTATGAATTAATGTCAGTCGAAATTGTAAACTTAATGCCAGCCGAAATCACAAATCTTAATTTTACCAAAATTACAAATTTAATGTTAGCCGGAAATACAACTTATAAAAGTTTGACAAACTCAAATTTGATTGATAAATATTTTGATATAATTATCACATGATTAAAAGTTTGACAAACTCTATTCACCCCTAGGGCCCCTCAAGAGGTAACCACATTATCAATGTGGGGCAGATTTGTATAAAGTTCCTTCATCACAAATTTACTTTCATTAAATCTTATCTTCTCAAACACATATCAAGAATATATGTTTTTATTTCTTTTTTTTGTTTTGAAAAATATAAATTTCAATGACTTTATTTCATACAATTCCTCAATTCTTTAAATTTTAAAACATTATAAAGTTTATTAAATATGAATAATATATAAAAAAGGTATATTAAATTTATTTATAATCTTTCAAAAAAACTCTTTCCCACTTATATCAAAATTTCGGAAAATTTTCTTTTATGGTAACAACTCAAAGTTCACAGGAAAAAAACCCACGCTCACAAAGAGCTACACTAACAAATATGGTATCAAGACTGAAAAAGAAAGACAATACAATCAACTATACTGGCAAAAGAATTATTATAAGCAGTAATAAGATCTCAAAACCACTCTTAAAGATAAAACTCGCAAACAAGTTCAACCCTATGTTACCCACCAAAAAACCAAGAACCCATTCAGAACAACTCAGTGACCATAACAGATCAGAAGCAAAGTAGGACGATCCAGAATAACAAGAAACCATAGAACTTGAAGACACAATAACAAGCGAACCAACGAAATAGGAGCCAGAAATCAAGAAAGAAGCCTCAGAAAAGGAAGAAGCAATGAAAACCTCTAGACCAACCTCTCCAATTATGATTGCATCTACAATACCCAAACACAAAAGTGGAAAAGATCTCAACAATAATGGTCAAAACGACATCACCATAAACAGCTATATATACATTACAAGGGACGAACAGCCAAGCAATAACCAGAAGGCAAGTATTAACAAGACAGGACAAGGCATAGTACAATTAGGAAAGGTCCTGTTCAACCCAGATAAAATTATCAGAAACTTACTTCAAGAAAAACTCCAACATGTCAAAAACATTTGGGGATATCTGGAATCCCTAAAATACAAAGGGTAGAAGAACTCACAGGAAAACCAAAAATCGCAACTATTTTTGGCAACTACTATGAGGTGGTAATGGCATGCGAGATTAGGATCACTGACAATGAAACTACCAAATCAAGATTAGCTTCTTCAATTGGTATCACAGAAGGAAAGACCTGATCCATTAGGATTTGGGACATTCCCAACAATTATATAAAAAAGGATATCGCTAGTTTATTCAAGGATAAATCAACAATTGAACACATTACACTTCAACCAGCCAGGGCAATGCAAACCGGAACAGTATAATTCAACTCAACAGAAGCATTCAACGAACATGCCTGCAAATGGGCTCTATACAAGGATAGATTCTGTATGCATATATTCCCAACAGTCAAAACCCATATTGTAAAAGAAAAAAGGAACCAGTATAGCACCACTCTAGCAAACCTCCACAAGGAACCTCCGTCAACAAACTCCAAGAAGTAATTGATCAGACAAATACTCAGGCATGTTACTTCCTATTAAACTATCTAATCAAAACAAATGATTTATAATCCTTTACTTTAAGGATATACAAGATCTGGACAGAGCAAGGAGCATTACTTTCCAGATCAAGAAGACGAAACTGATTTGGGTCTCAAAAGCAATAAGGCTCTGTTCTAACTGTGGAGCACACAAGCACAACACTAGAACATGCACCTTATTTGAAACAATTTTATACAGAAAGAGAGAACGAATAGACTAGGACAATCTAGATTAGTGATGTGACAGTAACAAGGACCTCCCTTTCCCAGGTAGGACTGGCAGCCCATGTCTATAAACATATATAGCTCAAGTCTCACTTATGCCAATGTTACCAAGGGACTCTCTCACATACTATCACAGATGGAGAAAGTTTTGGAAGCTCTCAAGCAACTACAAACAGACATGCAGGCATTAAATACCAGGTCCATATGCTAGACAAAAGAGTAATAGCAATAGAAGTGGGCTTCTATGTAAAGGCAAAAGGGCCAGTCATTACAAACATATCTATAGAGATTGGATCACTATCTATAAGTGTAGAATTCAGAACCCCATCACCAAAAAGCTTCAACATTAGATAATAACAAGAAGCAATAAATAAGAAAATCAATCAGATGGAATCCATAATCAAGTTTATCATAAAAGAAATAATGAAATGCCTTGACTCACCAATCGAACTGATAAAAGAAGCAGAATCACTTCTCCAAGCCTTTCTAAACAACTATGATTAGAGATAAAAAAAAGTAAATGCCTCAGTGAGGCAACTATATGAAAAAGAAACAACAAATATAAGACAGGAAATCTGGAAAATAGGAACAATTAATGTTAAGGGAATTAATACAGAAGTTGACAAACTAGTGATATTAGAATACTGCCAAGAAAATCTGATAGACATTCTGGGACTTACAAAAACCCGACTATCAGAAAACAATAAATGGCAAGACAGAAAAAAAAGATATCAAATCTGATTAACCAAGCCAGCCCAACAAATACAGGGAACTGGAGTGAGTATAATAATAGAAAGAAAATAGGCAACCCATGTCTACAACACAAAAGAATGTATCAATTGGGACCTATTAATCGACATGGCCTTTATAGAAAAAATCAAATATAGAATTATAACTATATATAATTTAACAAATGAAACAAAGAAACTGGAAAAGGCAAAACTGCAACTATGGATTAAGATCAAGATTGAGGAAGCTAAAAGCAAGAACATGATCATTATAGTCATGGGGGATCTGAACGAAACAGCAAACACATAGTTAGACCAAACAACAGAAAGAATTAACAAAAATAAGTGGAGACATATTATCAATATGCTGGAGGCATTCGACTTCATAAATACGTTCAGACAAGTTCATCCATCAGAAAGAAGTTATACATACTATAGAACCAAGTCAAACTATAGAAGCAGGTTAGACTACATATAGGTAACGGACCCCCTACATTTCAATATTATTAGTATAGAACATCACTCATTAGAAACAGTAATCATGAGTGACCACAAACTAGTATTACTTTGTGTTAGTACACTACACACTTTATAAGTCAAACTAGTAAACAGGAAAAGGATAGACAAAATAATAGAGACTATGTGAAATTCAGCCCAAAGTAGTGAAACAAGTTTAAAGAACAGATGGACAAGAAGACAATAAAATTCTTAAACAAAAAGTCAAAATCAGCGGAAAAGATTTGGAAACACTTCAAGGAATTGATGTTATCCTCAGCAAAGGTATCACTCAAAAAACGAAGACATAGTAGAAACATTACAACAATACACAAGAATAAATATAAGGACCTTATGTGGAAACAACTCAAGATTGACAGCACTTACAAGAAATGCCAAGCATGGCTAATAAACCTGGAGAACAGAACACAAACAATGGCCAAAATAATAGAGAAAGAGATCAAAAACATAAATAAATCAATAATAATTCTAAACATATCCCCCTTTTCCAAAAGGAGTCAGTGTCAGATAGAAAAAA